AGCCTCCATGTGCCAGGCAGTGTGGGGCAGCCTCAGACTGCAGCCCTTGGAGGTGGCCAGAGGAGAAATCCCATCTGCTCATGGCATCAGGCACCCAGAGATGCCAGATGTGTCTGTGTGGAGCATCCCCACAGCTCAGGAGGCAGAGTCTGTGGCTGCTGTTGCTGGCTGCTCCAGAGCTCATGGAGCACCTTTCCCAGGCTGGCTGCTCCTGCCTTCTGCTGCTGAGGGGTTGTTTATGTAGGATGCTCTGTGGGTGGGATGTGGTTTTGTCACCACTCCATTGTTGGACTCTGTTTGGGCACTCTGCCCGAGGATGATTAATGATGTTTTGAGTTGAGGCTCTGAGGTGCTTGCAGGCATACTGCAGGTACCAGAAGTGAAAGAGGTGTTGTTATCATCAAGGTACTTCAGTGTTATATCAAGTGTAATCAGAAGTGAATTAATTAAAGCAGTGTGTACATGTACGTCCTTTTATGGTGGATGTTCAAACAACTCATATCGTGCAGTTTAGAGCTCAGTGTTTCAGGCTTTTGTAACCCTCTCCTCTCTGTGAGAAGGCAGAGGGTACCAGGACTGCTATCAGAGGACAAACCTCTCCTGTAAAGGTCTTTTTGTCAAATGTGGTTCTTAAAACAAGTTAGGAAATTGTGTGCATTTGTCCATCCTGGCTCTGGCATGTTTCAAGGTTAATTTTTTCAGCTCACACAACTAGTGTAGGATGGGATCTAATGGTTGCTTGGGTTTCATCTGACCTTGGAGTGAGCAAAAATCTGGAGAAAAATTGTATTTCTTGTTGGTCTCAGCTCTACCAGGATTAAACTTGTTTTTGCAGCATGACATACCCTTGACGTGGTTGTCACTTAGAAAAATTGCCTGGAAATGCATCAGGCTCTTCTGTCCAGCAGCTCAGGCACTGTGAGGCTGGTGATACTCCACCCCATGGAGAGGAGACACAGATCTGGAGGGAGGAGGGGCTGACAGGGTTGCAAGGTGACCAGAGATACAGATCCTGAGCTGTAGCTTCAGTCTGACAAGCAGAGCCAAACCCTTCATTTTTCAAGTCCAAAACCCCAGGTTTTGGTGAACTTGGCAGCAGTGGGGGCTGAGCTGGAGGTGCTGCCAGCCCAGCTGTGGAGGAGACCACATCTGGCAGGGCTGTTCCATGGGAAGCAGAAGGTGAGGAGCTGGAACTGCAGCTTCAGCTCAGCCTGTCCAGGGTGATGGGTGACCTGGGTGACCCTTGGGTGACAGGAGCTGCCCTGGCCCCACCTGTGTGGAGGAGGCTGGGAAGCTGGGAATTGATGGAGACATAATGGATTAGACCTGGACCCTGCCTGGCACACATCTAAAGCTGTTTGCCCAGGGTAGTGTGCTGATTTGATATGTGTGGAGCTTGTGGTTTTGTTTTTCCAGAAGGCTGGAAAATGTATCAAATGAGGAGGAGATTAAAATGACCCCAAATGCTCAGAGCACTAAGAAAGGAGGCACTCAAAATCAATCCTCTGATCTTTTTGAACTAAACTCGTGGTTTTCTGAGCTGCAACTCTGTGATTTGGACAGGGCAGAGATGGGAAATGGGTCAAAAGCTGAAAGTGCACCTAAATGTAAAATTTTGACATACTCCAGTATTAGCACTCCATGTGCTGCTCTGGCCTCTCAAGCTACTTTAGTTTACTGCTGGGGAAGGTTGAAAGGTGATCCAGTCATAGTTTACAAGTACCTAAAAAGGGAAGGGGTTTCTGTTGCTAGATGGGATTCAAATTTACCAGAGAAAGGCAGAGATCTCTTGGCTGGAAGCCAAAGTTAGAGGAGTTCAGACTATGAATAAGAATTGCAGTTTCAACTTTTTATGAGTGAAAACCAGAGGAAAGTCTTTGTCTGGAATTAAGCAGAGTCATCAGCACTGAATGGCTCTAAATGAAGATTTCTCTGTTTTTCTGAAAGCAGCAGGAATTATGAAGTGAGGCTTTCCAGCCCATCCCAGAGAGCAAGGCCAGGCTTCCCTTTTGCCCAGAGCAAGGCTCTGGATGCTGTTTCCCAGGCTTGGGGCTCTGCCTGCTCTTCCCACGCTGCTGTCCAAGCACAAGCCTTGCTGCAGTGCAGCAGAAAGGGCACAGATGTGTCAGGGAGCACAGCTCTGCCTCTTTGTGCTCAGCCCTTTTCCCAGACATGGTCCAGAATATTTTGGGACTGGGTTCCCCTTTCACTGCTCTGTCTGATTCAGCTGGGGGATTGCAGTCCATGGAGTCCATCAAGTGTGGCCTGGAGCTGAATACACTGTCTCTTTCCCTCCTGTAGTGAGACACCAAAAACATGTAGACTGGGTGGAAAGATGCTCTCCTTCCTTTTTCTGGGCAGGACTCCCTGCTGGAGGGGTGGGACACTGTGTGTGTGTGTCAGCTCTTTGGGTTTTTTTAATCTGCCTGCTTAGGAATGTCCTGTAATCATCACTGGTGGCATGTGCAGAGGTTTAGGTGAGACATGATTCATGTTGGTGGGGAGGAAGATCAAGTTCCTTGCTTGTTCTTGGCTCTCTTCCTCCACAGGCTTCAGGTTCCTGGGGTTTGTTCTGCTCTCGCCAGCATTTGGTGGAGAGGGGCAGGGCTGACACCCCTTTCTCCCAGCATTTTCCAGTTTCCCTTCCACTCAGGGTGATGGTAGCACATAGAACTATGGAAAGGAGACAAGAGGAGAATATTCTTTCATGCCTCAGGACTCAGTTGTTATATCAGTTTTAACACCAGTTGAACTTCTTTACATCCTACTGCTGGTTCTAGCTTATAAAATACCAGAATTCTTCACACCTGTGTCTTCTCTGAAATGAGACAAGAGTTGTCCCTTCAGTGACTGGTATCTCAGTCCAAATTAACCCATATTCTGTCCATATGCTGCCTGCTTCATCATTCTGCAGACCACCAGGCTGGAAATAAAACAAGGCAGATGCAGCCATGCCAAGGTCAGGACCTTCCCTGTATTTAAGGTGTATGGATAATGTTGGCATGGGACAGGGTGACCTCAGGGTACCATAGGAGCTGACTGACACACACATTCAGACAGAATAAATATTTGAGAGTCTATTTCTCTATTCCCCAAAATGACCCCTATAAAAGCAAGGTCCTGTTTACCTTCCTGGCTCTCCATGCAGTCTTCTGGGAAGAGACCAGCTCTCTTCTCCCTTCACTGCCTTCCAGCTCTTCTGGGCAACCCATTTCCAGGCAAGGATCAGGGATATGGGCTTCACAAAACCCATGACACCTTGGATTTTCACAGAATTCCTAAAGTTTGGTGAAAGCTGAGATCATTTCTGGTCAGAAGTCCCTGTTTGTGCCAAAGCACAGTGACCTGGGAAGGTGTGAGAGATCTCAGTGCACAGCCTGCAACCACTGCCTGCAGCTGACCCAATGGTTTTGTGCTCTCCCTGTCCCATTAGAAAATCATGGAATGGTTTGGGTTGAATCCACCTTAAAAAAAACATTAAAATTCATCTCATTCCAACCCCCTGCCATGGACAGGGACAGCTCCCACTATCCCAGGCTGCTCCAAGCCCTGTCCAGCCTGGCCTGGGACACTTGCAGGGATCCAGGGGCAGCTGCAAGGTGTGATGTGCCTGGGACCAGCCCACCTTACCCACCCCCAGCCCTGGGCCTGCCTTTCAGTCACTGTGAGCTTTGCTTGGCTCACTCCTGTCACCCTGAACTGCTCCATTTCTAGCCATGCTGGGATCCTTTTGATTAAGGACAATTTATCTTCTCACTCCCATCAGGAATATGAGAGAGCTGAGAGGTTCCTACCTCAGGAGCATATTCCTGATGATGGCTGTGCTTTTTATTATTTTCTGTAAGATCCCTTTTGGTGAGAGCAGTCTTTAAATACTATCAACCTGCACTGACTTAGTTGGCATGAAGAACTAGAGGAGACATACAAAAGTCTGTAGAACAGTGATTGCTCTGATGAAACCCATCCAGTCCCTCAGCCTTTGAGTGCTCTGCCATTTCACAAGATCAGAATGCACAAAGCAATTAGAAGGTGGTTTGTGCATATTGGAAAGAGGAAATTATCCATCAGTAACACACCTCAGACAAGGAGAAGCCATTGTTACCAATATTCTTAAGGCAAAGCCAGCAAGTTGCTATTTCCTTTTTAAAGGTTAGTACTGAGAAAGAAAAAGGGAGCTAGAAGAGTGCAGAGCTGTCAGTTGAAAGAAAAATTGCAAGCCTGCTAATCCTTTCTTGTCAGGCTTAATATAAAGCCTGGCAGAGATTGATAAGAAGTGTCTCCCTCTCTGTCTGATGTTCCAGGTGCATGGTAAAAATCACTTCTCTGAAACACCCACGTGCAGAGCCAGGCTCCAGGCTGGAGAGGCTGCTGGCCAGCCTGACGCTGCTGGCACAAAACCATTTAAAATACCTATTCTTTCACTTTTCTTCTTGCAGCCTGAATAAATGGCTGTTCCTCCCCTCCTAATCCTTACACATGCAGGATTTTCTTGCAGCCCCTCTCAGTGATGATTGCTCTGCTGGTGTTGAGCTGAACAAGGTCTCTGCAGCAAATTTGGAGCATGTGGGGCACAGGGGGCTGCTCCCTCTGCTCCATCTGCACTGACCCATTCTGCCTGGGGCTGCTGAAGGTGTTGGAGATCTGCAGCAGCAATGGCCAGGAGCAGGGGAAAAATAATCCCTGAAGAGCTTAAGCTGGTGTGTGCTGGGAGAGCTCAGCAAAGCTCTGCAGGGACAGGAGACACAGGGCACTGCCTGCATGGGTAGGGCTCTGTGGAACATCAGATCTGGTCATGGGGAGCCTCCAGAGCCTCCCTCTGTTCCCTGTGTGGATGTGCCTGACTTCTGCTCCTTCTCTGGGTGCTGTTTTCTCCCTCTCCATCACCTCATGGCAGAGGGAGCAGCAGGAGCTTGGCCAGGGGAGGGGTTTGGGGGCTCCTCTTGTGTGTGCACAGCTCTGAGAGGGGCAGGTTTCAAAGTGTCCCCTTTCTCTTTCCCCAGCTGCTCCTCCCAAACTGAAGAAACTGAAAAGCCCAAATGTTCACGTGGGTGAGAAGATTTCCCTGAAATGTGAGGCGACTGCTGGGAACCCTCAGCCATCCTACAAATGGTTTAAGGATGGGAAGGAGCTGAAGAAGAGCAAAGACATCCGGATCAAGTATGGGAATGGGAAGTAAGTACAACACAGGGCTGCTCTGCCTCTGCTCACTCAGGGGCTGGGGCTGGGGCTGGAGGTGCTGCTGTGCTCCCCAAATCTCTGCTGAGCAGTCCCTCAGAGCCACAGGACCCTGCTCAGCCCAGTTACCATGGCCAGGAGAGTGAGTAAGGTCCCAGTGACCTCAGAGAGCACGGGGAGAGGAGCAGGGCACACACAGGGAAGGTGTTGGGTTTGTAGATGGGCTGTCCTGGGGTTAGGGAGGCACTGGCTACCTGAGGCAGGTGTCCTGTGCATGGGGAGGCTTTCCCTGGTAGCTGTGGGCAGCTCAGGTTGCCTGGGGTGACTCCTGCTCTGTGATTAAGGGTTGGAGGCAGAAGGCACCCAAACCCAGCTGTTGCCCCATCACTCAGCAGCAGGGCTGTGGGAGGAATTGGTTTGTTCCCTCCTGAATTTAGGTGGACACAGAAGCACCTAAGGCCACTGAAAAATCACAGAATGATAAATTAGGGCTGGAAGGGACCTCTGGAGATCATCCAGTTTAACCCCCCTGCCAAGCATCAGCACCTGGAGCAGGTGACACAGGAATGTGTCCAGGTGGGGTTGGAATGTCTCCAGAGAAGGAGACTCCACCCTCCCCGGGCAGCTGTTCCACTGTTCTGCCACCCTCAGCATAAAGAAGTTCTTCCCCATGTTGGGATGCAATTTTTCATGGTTTAGTTTATGGCCATTGCTCCTTGTCCTGTCACTGGGCACCACTGAAAAGAGCCTGGCACCATCCTCTGACCCCCTTGGAGATATTTATGTGCATGAATGAGATCCCCTCTCAGCCTTCTCTCCTCTACACTGAGCAGGGCTGAGATGCAGGATTGCCTCACAACACTGCTCAGGGGTCATGGTCACCTGCAGAGACCTTGCCTTGTGCAAATCCTTCCATCTGTCCACCCTGGGCAAGCTCCCTCACATCTGCCCCAAAGTCCCCACCCAGCAAAGCTCTCAGGTGGCTCTCAGTGAGTGTCACCCTCAGCCCCAGCTCATTCAGTGTCACCCTCAGCCCCAGCTCATTCAGTGACTGTCACCCTCAGCACTCCCTGAGAGTGACACTCATCACTGAATGAGTTCAGTGTCACCCTCAGCACCCCCTCATTCAGTGATTGTCACCCTCAGCCCCAGCTCATTCAGTGTCACCCTCAGCACCCCCTCATTCAGTGTCACCCTCAGCACCATTTCATTCAGTGACTGTCACCCTCAGCACCCCCTCATTCAGTGTCACCCTCAACACCACCTCATTCAGTGAATGTCACCCTCAGCCCCAGCTCATTCAGGCAGGGCTAGAACAGCTGGAGAAAGAGATCCCAGTGACCAAGATCAGGGGTTCTCACTGGGAATGGATTAAAATGAATCCATGTTGATATTTCTCAAGGCCCAATATTTAGATATGATGTATCTTAAAATTATTCCACTTTCATGGCTATGTTTGCATTCATACATCCTGACCTAGCCAGCAACAGTCAGCTTGCAACTGCCTGACCCCTTGGAAAACTTGATTCTAATTCTTCACTAACATATGTTCTCAGTGGGTGAATACAAGGTCATCATGGACTTGTTAGAGTAGCAATTTTTAGAATTAGAAGCCACTACAAATCAGTTAGAAAAAATCACTCAGTGTTTGAATGGGGCGTTGCCAATTGCCCAAATTTAATTTCAGTCCTGTTGGGTTTGGTTTCAGAGTCACACCCAAGATGGTTGACCTCCTTTGTAATAATTCTGGGACTTGTGGCTGTTTTGGGATGAGGCAGAGAGGTGGTCAGTGCTTCCAGGATAACTGGGTGCTGTCTGGGCTTGCAGGCAGCAGAGCCAGGGCAGAGCTGTGCCTGCCTCTCTCTGTCACAGTAATGGGCCCCCAGCTGGGTAATAATTACTATTGATTCCTCAGGAGGTTGATCAATGTCTTTATTATATTATCATTATTAAGAAACTCCTTGCTTTTATAGTCAGTTATGATACACCCGGACCTAATTGGTCCTCTAATCTAAACATCATCACCATTGGCTAATTAAGAAACTACTTTTTGGTGAACAAATCTTTATAACACACTCTACATGATCACAACAGGTGTAGCAAGTGAAGATAAGATTGTTTTTTATTATTTTTTCTGATTTTCTCACAGACTTTTCCCAGAGAGGCCTGGGAAAGTTGTGTGTTGCTCTCTGTGGCCAGAGAGCTGCTGCCACACCTCTCCTCTGCTGCCCTCACTGTTTTTGGGGGCCCTTGTCATTCTCGTGGCCTTGGTTGTTTAGCAGTGGCTGCTGGGGCTGGGATGCCCTGGAGAAATGCCTGCAGCACACTCTGTGGGAATGCCCAGGGTGCTGGGGAGTGCTTTCCCTCAGGGCTAGAGAGGAGCCAGCCCCAGAGCAGCCAGCACTGCCCTGCTGTGCTCCCAGTGTCCCAGCCCTTCCTCCTCTGCCCAGCATGGAGCTGTGGCAGGGTGACATCCCACCCCCAGCCAAGGGGACAGGCAGCCCCTGGGCCAGGGACAGGAACCAATGCAAGGGAGTTGGTCCCCCTTCCTCAGCACTCTGCTGTCAAGTCATCATTTTGCATTTACCAGTTTCCATGGAAACTTGCTGGCTCTCCAGTGAGAGGCCAAAGATGTGTGGTGCTGGAAGGGCTTCCTGCTGGCAAAGCAAGCCCAAGGATAAACATTTTAAGGAAAGCTGAGCATCTGCCTCTTCTGGTGTCTGAGACTCCCTCAGCAGCAAAGGGGTGAGCCCAAAGCATTCCCAGAATTGCTTCCCATCCCATCTTCTGCTCCCTGCTGCCATTAAAATGTGACTGTCTTGTGCTGGGACCAGGCTGTGGAGACTGGACTCCAGCAGCTGTTGAGCAGGAGCAAAAGGAAATGGCCTCAAACTGTGCCAAAGGGGGTTTGGATGTTAGGGAGAACATCTTCACTGAAATGGAGGTCAGGCTTTGGAACAGACTGCCCAGGGAAGTGGTGGAAGTGTCCAGAAACTGTGCAGATGTGTCACTTGGGGACACATTGGTTCATTGGTGGCCTTGGCGGTGCTGGGAATGGTTGGACTCAGTGATCTCAGAGGGCTTTTCCAACCTAAACGATTCTGCCATTCTGTGGGACAGTTCTGAGGTAATTACCCCTCAGTGAGCATTTGCCCCTTGTTTAGCAGTGCAGGAACACTTCCCTGAGAGCATCTGGGCGGGTCTGTGCACACCCACCCTGGCATTGCCACCTCTGTCCCTGTTTGCTGGGCCCCAGAGCTGAAAACCCCGAGGCAGAGTGTCCCCTGGCATTGGAGCTGCCTGCCTCTGGTCTTGACTGCATGGAACAAGCACTGAAAACTGCTCAGAGCAGGCTGAGGGCTGAGAGAGCCCTCATGACTTTGATGTCTTCATTATGCAGCTGGTGGGGCCAAGTTTAGTGGAGGGACATGTGATATGGGTGTAGAGCATTACTTGCTGCGAGCTGGGAGGGGACTCCAGGGAAGGAGAAGCATCCCAAACTGTAAATCTCTGAAAGGACATCTTATTCTATAACAATTATTTTAGGAATAATGGGATTTATACATCTGGCTCCACTTAGAGATAACACTGGTCTCCAGATAATCCTCTGGGCTTCCCTTCAGCTCAGAGTGGGGATTTCAGAGGGCCAGAAATGGAGCACTGGGGAGGGACCTTCACAGGGAAAATACACGAGGCAAAAACTTCTCAGGCTGTGCAGGATCATTTCAACTTCCAGGTGCACAGGATCATTTCTTTAGAAGTGTAATACCTTACAGAGATTTCTGCTGGAGCCAGGCAAAAGGAGCCCTCCAGCAAAGTGATGTCCATTGTGCTTCCCTTGGCCCTGTGAGGCCCTGGCAGAGCTGGGCACAGCTGAAATCTGTCCCCAGCTCTGAGATCTTTAGCATGCAGAGGAATAGGATGGGAGACAAGAACCTGGTTGCTCTCTGTGATTAATTTCTGGCTTTCCTCCCCATGTGTGTAAAGAGCCTTGAGGTTTCTACCTAGAAAGTATGACTGAAGCACTTTTTTTTTTGGTGATTGGGTTTTTATCTGATCTCTAGAATAGGGGATCTCTTTCAAAATAAGGGGTGTGTATGTTGTAATGAGGAGAGGAGCACTTAACTGCATGTCAGCTCTTCAGCTTTTCCATCAATCATTTTCCCTCTTCTTTTTAAACTTACCAGCAAAACCTCTGGTGCCATCAGGCAGAGGAATCAGGTTTTTTTAATGGATATTTGCTGGAGGGAGGGGAACAATTCTGATTCCTCCTTTCTGAACTTCATGTTCCATCTGTAATTAGTGACAGGCTGGGGCAAGCCCGGCTTGCACGAAGGGGAAACCTCTTTAAGGTGGAAGAAATTATTGGCTGGAATTTTATCTCCATCTCCATTTGAATAAAGCACAGTTGATGGGAAACCCAGAGAAATTACCAAGAAAGAGCCTGTGGTAGTGGAAATCCAGCCTAGTGAATGGCTCTCCCCCCAAGCTGCCAAAGTGATGCCATTTTTGGCTGAGTGTGTCTGAGGTCTGACTGAGGCTCCCAAGAAATTCAGGTTGGGTTTTGACTTTCTGACTATCCAAATGGTCAAATGCCAGCTATGGAGGAAGCCAAGGGAGTTTTTGCTTGTGGAGGTGTAGAGAACCTTCCCCTCTTGAAGTCATGCTCAAGGCTCAGCCTGGGACACGCAGAGGTTCAGCTGGAGCCTGGGAGTCCCTGAGCTGTGCCTGTCCTTACAGCCCTTTCCCTTTGTGTGCTCTTCTACCAGGGGACACTGCTGGGGTGATGAAGGAGGCATATCATTAGATTGGAGAGGGTTGGCAGTTCAGTTTGGGACAGGCTGACCATATGACATCCCCTGGGAGCGGTGTCCTACTTTCAGTATCACCAGGAATCCCTATTGTTAGCCTGTAAGTGGAGCCAAGGGATACCCTCCTCTCCTGTTTCTGTACAGTAGTCCCTCAGGCCATGCCACTTGAGCAGATTCATTGCTGGG